CATCAATACAGATTCTAAATACGTAAATGATATCAAGTTAAAAATGAAACGAATAATAAAATTTATGATTAAATGTACGCGAAATCGTACCTGGAATAGATGGCAGTCTTTCTTTTCCATCTCTCGGTGCTGGCATCGCGACGTGTATTTTATTAAGTATGTCTTCTCCCTTTTTCCCTTTGAGCTTGGCTTCGACTCTGTATTGCAACAATTTTTCGCAAGCTTCTATTTTAACTTCTGCAACACCTATTTCATTAGCCGCACTCATTTCCATGATTGGTATATCGCCTAGTTTAGCGAGTAGCTCTTGTCTTTCGGGACTTAAATCTGTTTTTTTGACTATGTCGCATTTGTTTAACACCACAATTAATGGCTAGAGTAAAATAATGACAGTTAATTTTTTTTATGTGAAGCACTATGGAGGTATGAATAAATTCTCAGTAATTTTAAATTTACCTTATTAACAAACAAAGGTTTGATACTTTCGAATAAACTTAATTGCTCTTCAAAAGAATAGCCACATTGCTCAGATGGATCCATTATGTAAACCACAGCTGACCTTAAATGTACAAGAGCTGTAACTGCTTGCATTTCAATTATATTCCTTTCTTCGAGCGGATGATCCAAAATTCCCGGAGTGTCAATTATCTAAATTATTAATAAAATTTACATTTAGGTGGATTTTATAAAATCATAAGCCAAGTTCATAAACAATACTTTCTATATACATCACACAAACCTGCCATCTTAAATATTTGTAATCTGTGTGCCCTAAATAAAGTGACTTGGTTGTAAATGCATATGGTTGGACTTCGACATCAGCTCTTGTGATCTTAAAAATAAATTCTCATATAATATAGTACACAATTTACATTAAAATCTATTGAAAGTGCTGTTTATGATTTGTTTTACAATCAGTACCTTATTCATAAAACTACTTTTCCCCACATTAGGAAAACCACACAAAATTATCGTTCTAGCATATGGATCGATCGAGGGTAACCTGGCTAAATGTTGTCTCACTTGTTCCAAATATTCCAAATTAGAGGCTTGCCTTTTCATAATTGTAGCCATCCTACCCAAGGCAGCTTTTTTCAATTGTTTGCATCTATACAGCGAATCTCCAAATTTTAAAAGTTTCACATATTCATTTCCCACTCTGAAAAAAAAAAAAAACAAAATGTACAAATGGAAAAATTTAATTATTGTACTCGATGCTTTAAAAGTCACACACTTACTTATCAATTAAATGTCTAGCTGTGTTCAATTGCCCTAAACCCAACTTATAATGGTCTCTGTCGTATAAAATATTTAAAAGATCGGCATAAAAAGGATGTATATCATCCAATTTAGGAAATTCTTGTATTATTTGAGATAGGCGATCATGAAAATTTTGTTGAGTGTATTTAATTTTTCTCATGTAAAAAGATCTTATTCGAGAAATTTTATAATGTTTATGTACGACAGTTGGTGTTTTTCTCTGTGTTTTTGACAAGGTGATGTCAATAAAATCCTATACAAAAAAAAAAAGTTTTTTTTTTTAGGTATAATTCTAAATAATGGTTATAAATTTAACAGCTTTGAAAATATTTAATAATTATAAAAATTGCAAAAATAACATGAGTACCTTAGCCGTTGGCACGACGGCAATCTTTTTAAAATTATACAAAACCATTTTTTTAAATTGTCGTGAACTTTCTTACTAAAAACAGTTGTAAATATTTTTTTTTAATTAGGTAAAAATAACCGTAAGAAAACCACGTTTCCTCAAAAGACTCATCGTTGCCATAGAGTAAATAAAGTTACTAATATTAGCAATTTTATTTACTCGCCTTTATTTTTATGTCTATGCTCGTTTTTACACTATGACTTTGGCGCGTTCGAGATTAGTCTCACCATAAGTTTCTTAACTGTTTAATATAATTTAATAAAATCATCTTAAAGTTTCATCTTGTTTCAAAGAGTGATGATAACGTAAGAATTAGTTAATTTTTAAATAAAAAAATTAATAAAAAACTTTTGCATATTAGATATACGTTCGTTTTTTTATGATATAATTTTCTTATATATATTGGTAACATAATGAATTTGGAAGATGAAGAATTATTAAATTGTTCACTTTGCGAATCTCAAGGAATCGTTGATTTTAAAAGGCAATTATTTCAGCTTTATTTAAATGCGCTTCTTTATTTCATAATTCATTTAGTTTTAAATACATGATTAAATTTTCAGCGTCCGTCATCATTACTCAGATGTGGAAATAAAAATTTTGAATCTACCTCCGGGTCTCAATGAAAATGGTTTGAAAAATTTATTTTTAAATGTTGGAAAACCTATTTCAATTTATTTTTATTCTGACTCTGGTGATGCTGTTGTTAAATTTGAATCTTTAAAGTATGTAAAAAATGTAATTAATAATTTTTTTTTTTTGTCATGTATAATGATTAATATTTTATATAAATTAACAGGCAAGCAGAATTAGCTATTAGAGATTTAAACGACAAACCACCATACAATTTAAAAGTATATTTGAAAAATCGTAAAAATTATGCAAATTTGTTTGATTCCCATGAATCCACGCTAAATTTTCAAAAGAATACTCGAGTAGAATCTACATCTACAGCCAAGTATGTTTTTAATTTAAATTTTTATCTTATGGTTTCAATATTATAAAGAAAATGCTTAAATTTTATTTCAGTGCTGAACCGAAGCAAATCGATGAAAGTAATTTAAAAACTCGAAACGAATCCAATTTCATTAACAAGTCGAAAGTACTCTCTAAAGTAATAGATTACAAGCCATCTTATAAATTTTATCAAAAAAAATTAGATTATAGAGTAATAGGTGGTAATTCAATTTCATTGGGAAGAGGATATTTTTGTTTCAAGTAAAACATTATTGTATTACATAATAAATATATTCGAGTAATTAATAATTTTTGGTTTGTTTTATTTATAGAGATGATTTTCATGTTGTTGGAGTTTGCAAATTATTCCCATGTTTCAAATAATAGAGAGGTAAAATTTCCAATTCATAAATTTTATTATTTTATAAATAAAATCAATAATGAATTTGACTTTTGCTGTTTCAGGATTTATTTAACGATGATTTTTACTGCAGGAACTGTAATTCACTAACGATTAAATGTTGCAATACATGCATGGATGTTTATTGTTCAAATTATTGTTTGAATAATAATTTAACCCACAGGAATAGTAATTGTTTAAACAAGTAAATAACATACTTGATAATTTTTATTGAAATTTTTATTACAATTAAACTTTTATCGGTTGCTCTACTCAATTGTTGCTATTAACTAAAAACATTTTAAAAAATTTAAATTTTTTTTTAGCCAATTAAAACAAAATTTAGATGAAATTTCACATGATTTATCGAAAAGGTATGTCACAAAATAAATGATAAAAATATTTTCAAATTTTGAATTTATTTAACTGATTTTTCTGTTCTTCTTTTAGAGATTTAGATTCGGTTCCAACTCTTAAATCTCCCAGCACTGTGGTTATCAGTAGTTATTCTTCTCTTAATTCAGTATTCGTTCGTCAAATGGATGATTTTTGGAATGAGAAATTTTTTAGAATATGTAACGACGTTGCTCAAATTGCTAATGGAGGTAACAAAAAAACCATTTCACTCAAATCGTTTTTACAACTGTTAAAAAAAATTTTTTTTTAATTTCAGAAGAAAGCCTAAAATCATATCCAAATGTTGGAGATGTATACGCGGTTAAATACGAAATGGATTCATGTTTCTACAGGGGAAAAATCATGGGAATCGAAAAGGAAATGGCGAACGTATTTTTCTTAGATTTTGGAAATTATCAAGAAACTAAACTGGAAGATTTGAAAAATTTACCCAAGGAGTTGACGATTATTCCACAATTGGTATTTAAAGTTTCATTACTTAACGTTCCCGATGGTACTTCCACCGAAGCGATTGATTATTTAAATGAGATAACAAGTGAAAATATCCCATTGACTTTGGTGAGTTTAAATGATAATAATTAATTTAATCGATCGCAATGGAAAAATTAATATTAAATGTTTAAATTTCAGAAATATAAAGATTCTGCAAGTTTCGGAGTAACATTGTTGGAAAAATATTCCGGACTTAACGTTAACGAAAAAATAAAAAATAAACTTATACCACCATGGGAAAAAGATCCCTTTTTATTATCAACAGCAAGTAAATATATTTTTTTTTTTTTTTTTTGTTGTTATTATTTTTCAAAAGTGATTTTAAGAAATTTATTAATTATATAATGCCGCAATTCTTTTATTTCAGGTGAAATTGTTTACATGGATTCTTTGTCACACGAAACTCTTGAAATTGGTGAAACGTACACCCTGATTTGTTCGCACATCGATGAGAAAGAATTTAACGAATTCGGTTGTTTTTGGATGATTAATTATGATAACGTCAATTATTATTATTTAAAAAACGAATTGGAATTAAAAATAAATAAATACGTGAATTGTTTCGATGAAAATTTTTTATATTTACCTAGAGAGGGTGAATTATGTTTAGCGTACATAGATGGTAAGTTAAAATCACAATTACAAAAAAAAATTTATTAATCTTTTTAATAATAATAATAATAATTAACGAAAAATGTTTTTTTTTCCATAGAAAATGAATTCGATGGTTTTCGAACTCGCGTGTATTTCTTCGCGTTTACTTTTAAGTTTTTTTTTTCTTTTCCAGATGATTGGCAAAGATGTATCAATTTAAAAAGTCCAAAAACAACATGTTGGTTATTTCTCGTCGACGTGGGTAAAACGTACATGGTCGAAACGAAAAAAATTCGAAAAATTATAAAAGATTTTGTAGAATGTCCCGCTCAATGTTTTCGTTGTTTCATATCAGGTAATGTCTCGTTTCGATAAAAAAAATGAATGATAAACGAGATAAATAATAATAAAATTTGAATTTTTTTTTTTTTTTTTTTAAGGTTCCTCGAAAATGAATTCGAAAATCAAATCAAAAGTTTATAAATATTTGTCGGATTTTCAGGGGAAAATTAAAAACAACGTAACTGTTCAGCATAAGAAATCAGATGATTATTTCGTAACGATTTCCGAATTGGACGAGTGGTTGAGAAATGATAATTAAATATTTTATTATTATTATTACTTTTTTTTTTTTTTTGATTTTTGCGACACTCTTCGATGTCGGATTACCGAATTTTGGTGTTTTCTCTTCGGAAATTGAAATTTAACACGATCGAAAGTCGAAAAAGACTTTCGATGTGTGTTTGCTTCATCAAAATGGCGGTTTTCGGTTATTAATTTCATTAAAATGTTTACATACTACAATTGTATTTGTTTATTAGGAAATTTTAAAAAAAAAAAAAAAATTTTTCATTTTAGGTTTTCGTTCTGTAGCTTAAAATATTTTTCAATGCGTGACTTATATCGCCCTCAACTTTAATATCGGCATCGATGAGAACTTTATTATCATCATTATTTTTTTTTATCGAAGTATTATTATCATTATTTTTTTTGATGGAAATATCATCATTATTTTTTTTGATGGAAGTATCATCATTATTTTTTTTGATGGAAGTATCATCATTATTTTTTTTGATGGAAGTATCATGGTAATTTTTTTTGATGGAAGTATCATCATTATTTTTTTTAACCGAATCATTATCATTATTTCTTTCGTTCGAATCACAATCGTTGATTTTTTCTTTTGCAAAATTCGATCGGGTTTTCGAACTTATCGATAAGGGTTGTTCCGTGTATTTAGCTTTATTCGCAATGGCGTCTTTCGCCGACTTAAACAAATCTCTAAAACCTTCTTTTTGATTTATTTTAACGTTATCAAAATCGTTTAAATTTTTCATATCGCCATCTTCGTCGTATTCATCATCATCTTCGTATTCTTCATCATCATCATCTATTTTTTCTTTAGCATTATCATTTTTTTTTTCTTTGCAACATTGTTTTTTAACGCATGATTTTTTATTATTTTTTTCAGTTTTATAATTTTTCGAAGGATTCGAACGTGCGACGTGTCTTTTCATTATACCTATTTGAGACAAAAATGGAAAAGAAGGAAAAAGGAAAAAGCGGAAAATTAAATGAATTAACAGACGAATGACAGTTGGAAAAAAATGTAAGATTGTCCATTAAAGGTATTTAATATTAATATGAAAAACAAACTTCTTAGAATCCGTTGGAGATGATCGATCGAGAAATAAACAGCAGCTTAACAATTTGTTATTATTCTTTTAAATCTTAGGTTCTTAGAAGTCGAAGAAAATTTTGTCATCTATTGTGTTCAAAAAGAAAACAAATGGCTAATTAATTGAATGAAAGAGAGAGAAAAAAAGTATTTTCATTTATGTTCAGACTATAATAATATTTTTAATGGACAATCTAACTTTTGGATAATGAGTAAGAGAGAGAGAGAGAGAGGGAGATGACTTACCTTCCGTATGATCGATCGATGATTTAAATTTTAACGGTAATTTAAATAAATTTTTCTTATTTAAATAATTATCGTTGTCACGTGACGTTAATCTTTTTCTAGCGTGCAAATGATAGATTTTTAATTTCAGTTTAGGTCTCGGTTTAAATTCCGACGGGACGTTCGTATTTGTTACATCTTGCGAAGCATCCAACCATTCGTTCGCGGGTTCCACGTCACTCTCCGGTAACGTCACGTAATTATTTTTTTCATTTAAATTTTCCCCGCGTTCGCATGAATTTTTTTTCCTCGCGGATAATTTAAAATTTTCCGAATTTGATGTCATCGGAGAAAAATATTCTCTTGCGTATTTTTTCTCATTCGTTTTTAAATCTAGTCTTTCGGGTAACATATCGAATTCGATACGATATCGAGATTTATCGGAGCAATCTTCGATATTTTTCGTCTCGAAATCGTTTTCTATCATTCGTTTATCATTTTTTTCTAATTCCCTGCTCCGTTGGAAATTTTCTCCCGATGACCTTTTCACCCTTGGTAAATTTATTTTTTTACAATTTTTATTTTTCAAATCTTTAAAAGGAAAAATAAATTTCATATATATTATTAAGGTTAAAACGAAAACACAGAGAGAGAGAGAGAGAGATAGAAAATCGCAATTATTACTAGTATTATTATTATTATTATTATTATTATTATTATTATTATTAGTATTTTTTCTCTTCGTCGTTACCTATTAAATCTCCGGAAGTCTTACGTTTCTAAAACAAAAAAAAAAAAACTTTAAGTATGCCTCTTGTATCTTTTTTGCAATTTTTACAATAGTGATGATAATAATGATGACGATGATGATGATGATGATGATATTTAAAATAAATTAAATAATTACCTTCGTCGGATTTAAAAAACGATTATTACCGTAATCGTTGTTGTCGCCGCCGCCACCGCCGCCATTATTTAAACCGCGAAAAAATTTTTTTTTAACGTTTCTTTTCATTCTCATTTGTTTTTTAACTATTTTATGTTTATTCACGTCCGGATAATCTTTAAAATAGTAGGATTGAAATTCTTCGTACGTATTCGGTAAATAATTATCATTATCGATAACAATTGAATTTTTCAATTCTGTCCTTTGATTTTTCATAACAACCCCCCTCGCGTAAACAACGTCAATCACAAACTGTAAAAATTTATTATTATTATTATTACTAATAATTAAAAATTCGTAACGGTTTTGTCGGTATTTTATCCTTACACGAATGAGTAATAGTAATAATAATAATAATAATAATAAATAATAAATTACGGTAGGAAGGATTCGAAACGGTTTAGTTCGTAGCAAAAGGGGGGGGGAGGGGAAAAAAGAAAAAAATTAAAAATATTATTAAACGCTCACCATAATGATAATAATAATAATAATAATATAAACATTGATGTTTATCAGCACGAAGCTCATTATATACTGTTGAATATAAAGAGAAAAAAAAAAACTCGAAACGATAATAATAATAATAATTTGATTATAACTAATAATAATAATAATAATAATAATATGTAATAACTTTGAAAAAATTAGAAAATATCACTGTAGACATGTTTGACATTTATATATTTGTATAAACAGCCATGTTTATAAAACGAAATGAACAAATGAGTTATTATTATTATTATTATTATAATCAATTTTTGAACGCGACAAGATTCCATGTACTTGTCGGAGTTTTTAAATAAATTTTTTTTTTTTTTTTCCCAGGTTTATGTTTGATACCTTAGGAATAAATGATTGAATATCGAAGAATGCGAAAAATGTTTTACAAATTTTCTTTTTATTGAATGTGACACGGGTCCCATTGATCTGATGGGATGACCGGAATCGTTTTTGTCTTTATTCCCGACATCCTGGTTATTTTCAAAATATCTGCATTTCAATCTTTTTGACGTTTTCACGACTTGTATTCTGGGAAGGTAATATTTTCAAATTTTTTCATTTTTTAATTTTTCACGGCTTAACCGATTGCGCGTGCGTGCGTGCGTGTGTGTGTGAGTGTGTGTGTGTTCTTCTAATTTACCTTTGGATATCGTCCGGGAAAACTTTTTCTATAACCAATCGTTCATGACTTTTTTCTTTTTAGATTGTAACCTGCCGTTTTTCTAATTCGTTTTCTTCATGATTTATTATTATTATTTTCACTTTTAGGCACGATAAGATTTTAAATACTTGTTGGAGTTTTTAAGTATTTATCCCAGGTTTCTACCCGATTCCTTAGGGATAAATACTCGAATTTCGGTGATGCTATTTATAGTATTTTCCGAAGAATGTTGGCCGTCCCACATAGTGCGATTTCCTGAATGGTTTCTTCTTTTAAATTCTTCAAAATCTTCTTCAAATTTTCTTTTTATTGTACGTGGCATGGCTCCCAGTGCTCCAACTATGCCAGTTTTTGTCTTCACTTTCCCCACATCCTGGCTATTTCAACCTTTTGTCTGCTTCTTTAGCTGTCTGGTGTTTTTTTCCGCCGATAGGGATACTTTAATTAATTTACATTACCCTTCAGCATTATGTCGCGAGATGATACCTGAATTGTTAGCTGGCACAGTTCTGCCTGTGTGGATTTGTTGATCATACAGAACCGTGCCTAACCTAAATCTACCTAAGACCTAATGTCGTAACCGGGCTTGAAATGTGGTTGTACCACTCCTTGGGTAATCCATCCATTCCATATTCCCGACAGATATTCCAGTGGAGTTATTTACAGATTTTATTGTGCCTCTCTAGGTATTCATATTTTGCTAATATCGTACAACCGGAAATTAAATGATCGATTGTTTTCGATTGTGATTGACAAATTCGACACATATCATCATGGCGGACGTTAAGAATCGATTTGTTGTTGAAACTATATTTAAATAAATTAATTTTAACGCGAAATTTTTTTTTTTTTTTTAGCTACGACATATTGTTTAATAAAATCATTCGTTATGTATTTATTTACTTATTTATTTATTTATTAATTTTTTTTTCAGATTACAAAAATGAAACAAATGATACGGAAAATGAACAACAATTATTAAATTATTTTATTCCTTCGGGATTCGATCACGTGATTTGACCGTAAGTGTTTTTCTTTCTTTTTTTTTCTTTTTTCCGGGAAGATGATAATAAAACGAAAATATTTATCAACGTCGATATATCGAAAATAATTTCGATAATAAAAATTCGTAGGTGAATTATTTAAAAATTCAATTTATTATTATTATTATTATTAAAAAAAAAAAGACTAGTCGTAAATTAAAAGGTTATAAATAAATAAATAAATAAATTTGTCGTTGTCATCGACGTTGATATTTTTCGTTTTTTCTATTTTATTTATATTAATTAAGTAAACATTAAATTTAATTTATTTCTTAATAAATCTAACGAATCTTTCTTTTCTTTTCTTTTCTATCCATTACGTGAATATTTATTTTATTTCTTTTGATATAATAGAGAGAGAGAGAGAGAGAGAAAGAGAGACAGAGAGAAAGGTAGAAAGAGAGAGAGAGAGAGAGAGAGAGAGATGACTGACAAGTTATATAGTCTATTATCTTTAACTACATTTCATTTTGCTAATTAATTTTAAATTTATGTTTTTAAATATATTAAATAGCTTCTTAGCTTCTTTTTTTTTTTTGTTAGATATAAACTTTACTATATAATAATAATAATAATAATAATAAACTCGTCCCATTAATAATAATGATGTAAATTCGAATGATTTCAAATTAAATATTATTATGGTGGTTCACAAAAAAAAAAAAAAAATAGTTAATTGGTAATAAGAAAAATTTTCATATTAACTAATTTTTTCTAAAGTTTTTTTTTTTTTAACTGACTGACTCCCCAGAAAAAAGAAAAAAAAAATTAGTGAAAAAGAAAGAGAGAGAGATAGTAGATAACATTTTAAAATTTATTCTTATGCGTTTTATTGCACAGAAAAAAAAAAAAAATTTTTTTAATAATTTTTTCTTAATATAAAAAGACGACAACTTTTGAGATGGTTGTTTTCGTCGTGTGTTTGTAGTTTTTTAGTTTTTTTTTGAATGCGTCAAACGTCTTCTTCTGTTATATAATTTAATTTATTTAATCAAGTTTTTTACGTGTGGTCCCCACAAAAATTTTTTTGGTCGTAGAATATTCGATTGGTAACAGAAAAAAATAGGAAAATATTTTTGATTCTTATTAAAAAACGATGTAATTAATGTCGAAAATTATTATTATTATTATTATGTTTTTTTTAAACCTCGTAAAAATTTTTGCTTGTTTTAAAAGAGAGAGAGAGAGTGGGGGGACGAGGGGGGAAGGGGAGAGAGTGGGGGGACGAGGGGGGAAGGTGGGGGGGGGGAAGGTTTCAGAAACGAATTAATAATTTTTTTTTTTTTTTTTTTTTACTATTCGATTACGAAATTATCAATAAAAAATAAATAGATGGACGATGTTAATGAACGTAAATAATATTAATATTGGTTTCTTCGATGGGTAGGGGAGGGGAGGGGAGGAGAAGGGAAGGTAGGGGAAATATCAATACGATTCGGTATGTTAATTACACGTTAAATTGTCAACACGATTCATTTATAATTAGAAAGCACACGATGAGTTTTTCTTTTTCTTATTTTTTTTTTAAATTACGTAATAAAAAAAAATTTTTTTTTAAATTTGAATAATTTTATTATTATTATTATTATTAAAGTAATTATTCACGATAAAAACGAGTCGAAATTTATATATATAAATATTATTATTATTATTTTTTTTTTATTACGTCATTCATTAAAATTCATAAAAATTGTTGTTGTGAACCTTGATATAATAAATATATGATGATGATCATCATCATTATATTTTCTTTTATTCACCGTCGTTATTATTATTATTATTATTAATATGGCGGGATTCGTTGTTGATTCGTTAAAAAAATTTGTGTACGTCAAAAATTTATTTTAAAAAAAATGTAAACTTTTAATTAACGCGTTAATGGTATGAAATATTTGATTAGAGGGTTAAAATAAAAAATATGACGGAATAATAAGGTACGTGAGAATTGTAAGGATGATGATGATATTATTATTATTATTATCATCATCATCTTACGTTATTAATTAATGTATACGTACGCGGTAGAATTTTATTATTATTATCATTATTATTAATTAAAAACTTGAACGGTGTTTGCCTCAAGGTTTTATCCATCATCATCATCATCGTGCATTTGACCCCAAGGTCAAAGTTCTTTAAGTAGGTTCATCCCCGTGTTATCACATACGAATATTTTGTCGAATCATTTCACTCTATATGTAATATTTTAATTTTTTTTTTTTACTACCTTTTAAACCCTTTCAACCCCTTTCACTCCCCCCTCTCTCTCTCTCTCTCTTTCTCTCTCTCTGTCTACTCGAAACCTTTTTTTTTTTTTTTAATGGTCTCTGTATAATTTTATCGTGTAATGATAATAATATATTATCATTAATTAAATTTACGTATGATAGTATAAGACGATGATGATGATGATGATGATAATGATAATGATAATGATGATGATGATGATGTTTGATTTTTTTGTGCGTGTAATTGAACAGAAAATTAATGAAAAATTTTGTAATTTGATATTTAGTGACCAATCTTTTTCGGTTAAAGTCTGTCTGTGGACATCTGCTGCTACGACAATTTTTTTTGTTTGTTTGTTTCTTCGTTTGTTGTTGTTGTCGTCGTCTCTTAACATTAATTAAATTCGTTTGTTTGTATACGGTTTTTTTCTTTTTTTTTTTTGTAACGAAAAATAAAACCGAATTTTGTCTTGTTACGATTCGATAAAACAAAACAAAAAATGTATGCCCCCCCTCTCTCTCTCTCTCTTTCTCTCATTCCCCCTTTCCTCCCACCGCCCCCCCCCCGTCGGAAAAAATAATTTCGTCCAATTATATTTTTTTTTGTTGCGTTAAATTTTTATTTACACAAATACAATTAAAAAAAAGAAAGAAAAACGTGATTTTATTATTATTATTATTATTATTATTATTATTATTATTATTATTATTATTATTATATTAAAATTTGTAAGAAATAAATTAATTCGGTTAAATTTATTTTGTCTTGATGTAAATATATAAGACCGGGGCTCATGACCCCGGGTGCCAAATGCTAGGGACCACCTGTCACGTATCTAAAACAAGATGACGCCTCTTTTTTTTTTTTTTTTTTTTTTTTTTTTTTTTTTTTTTTAAAAAAAAAGTTGTTGAGTTAAAAGTGTCAGATAAATAATAATAATAATAATAATAATAATACTCTTTTGTAAAATTATTTATACATTTAAAAAAAGAAAATTTTTGATTTCAAATTTATTTATTTAATTTCAGAATTTATTTATTTACATTGCGGTTTAAAATCAAACCGCAATCGTATTACTACTACTACTATCATTGAAATCATCATTATCATCAACATCATCATTATCATCATCATCATCTCATTTAATTTTCATAAAAATTTTCGAAATCCGAACCAAGAAAATTATAATAAAAAACCCTCTTAAGATTTCTTTAAGAAATTTCCCTTCCTTTAGTTAAACAAAAAAAAAAGTTTTGAAACATCCTTTCTTACTGCACACAAAGGAAAACAAAAAAAAAAAAAAAAAAAAAAAAGGAAATCTGAACAAATCGTTACCATCCATATCCGGTCGTATAAAGTTTCACCCTTTTTTTTTTTTATGCGGTTTAATTATGAGTTTAAGTCCATTTAAAATTTTATTATTAAGATATTCATTACTATTATAATGTTTAAACGGTGGTAGTAGTGGTAGTGGTGGTAGTAGTAGTAGTAGTGGTGATGGTAGTAGTAGTAGTTGTAGTTATTACATTAAAAAACATTTCAACTACTAAATTACAACGATTAACATTTTTTGTTTCAGATTGTTTGGATTCGAAAAAGGATACAAATGAAATTTGTTTTTCGAAATCAAATAATTTAATAAAAAATATGGAGGCAACAAATGTATATATATATATAAATGTACATATAGGAAATATTCTAATGAAATTTACAAATTTGCAACTAGAAAAAGGGAAAAAGGAAGGGAGGGGGTAAGTAAGTAATTAAATAATTTTTTGAAAAAATGTGCGTGTGCGTGCGTGCGTGCGGGGGGAAGGGGGTGCGCGCGCGCGCGAGTATTCAAAAAAAAACGGCCGTTACACCCTTATTAAAAGTTTCCGTTATGGAGGGTAAAACGACGGTTTTTTTAGTCATTTTTTTTATCACATCATTAGATTTCACACACGTTTCCGGTTGTTTGTCTAAAAATTGTTGTTGTTGTTGTTGTTGTAAATTTTCATTCAATTTTTCGCCATCGACGTCGTCGTCGTCGTTCTCATTCTCATCATTATCATGGGGGTCGTTTTCTTTTTTTAAATTATTAAACGATTCGTAATATTTAAAATCGTCGACGCATGATTGATTTTCGGTATCGTTAAGGGTGGTTAACACGTTAAACAACGGGGATCTTTTTCCCACGATCGCATTTTCTTTTTTGTTTAAAAAATCCAAATCGTAATCGTAGAAAACACGATCTTGATACTCGAATCCGTTTTGATCGTATATGTGCGACGGTGACGAAGGTGGTAATGGGGGTTGATATTTAGATTGATTTAAAGATTCCGGATATTCATCAATCGGAGAATTTGAACCCTCCCAAGGTTGACTACTACTCCCTTCCGAATCTTTCATCATCCAATAATTTTCCGTTTCCGTCGTCGTCGACGACGACCTTATGTCGAGCAAAGTTTCCAAATGACGTATGTAATCCACGGCCATTCTCAACGTTTCGACTTTGCTTAATTTCTTAGCACTTTTCCGTCCCTTTTCTTCGTTGTACGCTTCGGATATGTACTCGGGTATACGATTCCTGAGAGTGGCAAAACCCTCGTTGACTTGTTTCACCCTGTTACGTTCTCTCGCATTTCTTCGAGCTATGCTCAACGGTTGTGTTTTACCCAATTTGGACGATGAGTTTTGATGACTAGATATCATGGCTGGATCTTGTCGACACTGTCTCGGTTTCCTACACGGACCCTCATCGCTATTCGTCACGTAATTGGGAACCACGGGTCGAATTTTTTTCCTCTTCTTATTATTATATTCTTCTTCTTCGCCGCCGCCGCCGCTCGATTCATCCGAACTCACGAACGAATCCTTTTGTGATTTTCCATCCGAACGATGGGAAGGTTTTACAATAGTTTTACCGCAACGTCGTTTTGGACTAGAAAGATCGATTCGAATGTTTTTTAATTTTTTCACATCCCCGTGATTTTTATCTAAAATTTTCAATACGGGACCAAATAATTGATTTTCCGTTTCTTCATATCCGCCATCTTCTTTTGTTTTCGTAACGACTTTGAAATTGTCAATTCGGTCGTCGTCGTTGTTGTTGTTGGAAACAATATCGAAATTTGAATTGGATTGCTGTAGAACTTGTTTTTTATTCGATTTTGTCAATATTAAACTATTTCCGACTGACATTTTTTCTACCTGAAATAATTTATGAATTATTTTAATAGAACGACAAACGACAAACAACAAACAACAACAATTTTGTATTAGTATTGCAAAAAGCCTAACTTTTACTAATAAGGTTTTTATAATTTTTACTTTTATTATTATTATAATTCGATGCCTAATTATATATAACAATATTTGTCGGACATTTTTTATTTTATAACAACGATGGTTTAAAAAGAAATAATAATAATAATAATAATGGCGGTTAAATAACTAAGGATTTTACTTTCGGTCAGTGAAAAGGTTAATTTTTTTTTATTTTTTTTTTTTTTCGTTTAAAATTTGGCAATTATATTGATATTTTTTTTAAAAAAAAAAAAAAAAAAAAAAAAAAGGTTTTGAAATTTCTTAGAAATAATAATTTACGATGTAGGTATATAAATTTAGTTTTATACTAACTACTACTACCACTACTACTACTACTACTACTACCACGACTACTAATAATAAGACGGTTAAAAAATGACTAAAACTTATCGCACATTGCGTTTGTAAAAATTTTTTTTTTTTTGGTATATCGTGTGCCATATGACGTCGGAAATTTAATTAATATCTATGAGAATTTTTTTTTTTTTTTGTTTTACGTGGAAAAATATAGAATTTTTTAAACGTGGCAGAAGCGTTTTTTTACCGGTAAATTTAAAAAAAAAACGGTTTTGACCGGATATTTTACCTGGCGTTGTCGGTAAACGCAAACAATTTTAATTGTAAATTGGATTTTAAAAATAACAAAAATAATAATAATAATAATAATAATAATAATAATAAATAAAATTTTCACGACTTACTTTTTTTTTTCTAGAAACGAAAAGAAAGGCACTTTCGATTATAAATAATAATAATAATAATAAATTATATATATATATTAAATAAATTTACACTTTTAACTGACTAGAAAACAACAACAACATATTTACAATGGTAAAAAAAAAAAAAAAAAAACCTTTTCTCTTTTGCAATGCATTTTTTTAAACTGGAAGTTGTGTTGTATTGAAACATTATGTTGTTCTCCATGAACTCGAACCCTAAATTCACCCTAACTGGAAAGGTTCTCTCTCTCTCTCTCTCGCTCTTTTGTCTGCGCATTTCCAGTATTCTTTTATTTAAAAAAAAAAAAAAACCTTTTTAATTAGCATTAAAAGACCCCGTTTGCCATTTTTTACCCTGTCTAAATTCTAATCTATTATATTTTCCCCCCTTAAAAAAAATTTTTTTTTTTTTTTTATATTAAATTCAAAAACGTTTTAAGTCCTCCCCGGGTCCTTTAAAGGTAGTAGTAAAAACCTTAACGGTTTGTGATTACGAGAAGGGAGAAAAGACCCGTTTTAAACGATTATTCAAGGTATTTTTTCTTTTACAGGGACTCAAAAGCAAAAAAAAAAAATTATTCAACAATAATGAATTTTTCGTCCGCATAAAGAATTAATTACCAACTTTACAAAAAAAAAAAAAAACTAAATTATTCGTTTCATTGTGCCAACATAAATCCAAACAAAAAAAAAAAAAATCGGAAAACGAAAAATCGAACGGTAAGCATGAAAGGTTTTTAATATAAAATAAATAACTTGACCTTGAAATGAACGTGTAACTAGAATTTAAATACGAACCGTTGTTATTTACACGTTAAGTCAATTGTAAAAATAAAAAAAAAATTTGTTTTTTTTTTTATATATATAATTAAATCGTCGAAATAAAATAAATTAATTCAAAAAAAGAAAGAAAAAAAAAAAATTAAATTTTGTGTTTAAAAACAGGTATAATTTATACGCAAACGTCGGGGTAAATTATTGTTTGATTATTATTAACATACAAAGAAGCAGAAAACTTTTTTTTTTTTTTTTTTTTAATTACACGACGAATACGGGAAAAAAAAATTTGTAATTAAATTCCGGGAATAAATTTTCGGTAATTAGTTACCCGAAAAAAAAAAAAAAAGTTAAAACAATAAAATGAAATCATCGCAAGACATTTTGTTTTATGTTTTGTAGGAAGAAAAAAAAAAAAAATACCACGAGTATTTTAAACTGCTGCCACTGCCGCCCCCGCCGCCGCCATCGTAGTAGACCACTTGAGAATTTAAACAACAAACAATAAGGTCAAGTTTTTCATTTTATTTAAGGGCCATTGTGTGCAAAATGAAAAAAAAAAAAAAAAAAAAATTGGGGGAGAAAGAAACGTATACACACAACAACCGCCATAACGAAACAAGGTAAAAAAAAAAAAAAAACATTGCAAATCATCGTAGTTATAAGTTTTATTATATTGGTGGAAACCTTTTTTTCGATTTCGACGTGGAAGAAGAATTTTTTTTTTTTTTTTACGAATTATTATTATTATTATTAATATCGACGGGCACAACACGGGCGGCACGTTCATGACTGACGACTCTCTGATTAATGACCTTATTGACAGTATTAAGATTTATAATGGGTTTTAATGGTAGTAGTTTTTTTTTTTTTTTTTAAACGTAAAACCCTTACGATAAATTTTTTTTAACCGAGGCCAAGGGTTGTTGTTGTTGTTGTCGGTTGTTGGTTGTTTTACATAAATTTTTTTTTTAAATTATTAATACTAATTTTACCCCTCGTAAAAAATACGAATAATTATCATTATTATTTATTGTTTTAATCGTGAGAGAGAGGGAGAGAGGAAAAAATCAAAAGGGTTGTTTGTTTGTTTGTTTGTTTGTTTCGTTCGCGTTTGTCGTAGTTTCCCGCCGTTAAAAAAATTTTTTTTTTAGAAATTTTCAGGTTCGATAAACCTGGCAACCGCCGTTTGTGTTAAGTCCTCACTCGTTCCGCACATTGATTTCCTTTATCTGAGAATTAAATTTAAATTCGTGACGTATAATTCCAAAAAAAAAAAAAAAAAAAAATGGCCGAAACGTAATACGTAAAATAATAATAATAATAATAATAATAAAAAGATTTTTAATTTTAATTTTTTTTTTTTATACAATAATCGTGCGTGAATATATTTGTTTTTTTTTTTTTTTTTTTTTTTATTAATTAAATTTAACAGACAAGCAGAAGATAAAAATTATTTTAGTAAAAATGAAAACAAACCGAGAGTAGCAGAAGTAATAATATTTTGACATTTTAATTAATTAAAATATTAAGATTTCTATCATTTTTAAAAAAAATATTTTCGTATTACGTGATATTATTAATAAAAAAAATCGAATATTACCGGTTCCATTAAAAAACAAACAAACAAACAAACAATGTTTGTCGTAATAGTTGTTTGTTGTGCCTTGTTTTCATATTTTAGGTTTTTCATAATAATAATAATTATTAACATAAAATTCTTTCTCGAAATGATTTTTTAGTTTTTCGGTTAAAAGGGGGTCTCGGATAAAAAAATTTTATTTTATTTATTTATTTATTAATCTATTAATGTACATATAAATGAAATTTTTAACGAATCGTCACATATATAATAATAATAATAATAATAATTTTTTCTCGTTGGTTGGTTGTTGGTTAGTTGTTGTCGTTTGTCGTTTGTCGTTGTCGTTGTTGGAATTCACTAATTTTTATAATAATTGATTTTTATTTTAAACGATTTCGTTTTTTTTTTTTTTTTCGTTAACTATTTAAAAAAAAAAAAAAACATAAAATTTTATTTATCGATCGTTATTTTATTATTATTATTATTTTATTAACGTAATAAATACGGATTTAATGAATAGAATTGTTGATGGGTGAAAAGGTGGGAGGGAAAAGGGAAAATGGGGGGGGAAGGAAGAGAGGGGGAAGATGAGGAGGGGGAGGGGGGGAAAAAGAATTTTTTTACGTAATATCATTGACATCATCATCATCATCATCATCATCATCATCATCATCATCATTTTTTTTTTCGTTATTATTATTATTATCGTTTTTTTTTGTTTTATATATAGGATTTAAATATTTCTCGATGGGATTTTTATAATTTTTTCGTACAAATTTAATTGTATAATTCTTTATATATACATATATATTTTAATAATCCCTTGTTATAAAAAAAAAAAAAAAAAGTATCCCCCATCTTTGATTTTCAAAAAAGAAAAAAAAAAAAATTTTCCGGTTAAACGAAAAAAAAAAAAAAAAAAAAAAAAAAAAATTAAAAATAATTTATAAATGAAATCAACCGCGACGTCGACGACGATGACGACGACGGCGATCGAAATCATTCATTCGTGAATGAAAATCGTTCTTTATGTTTTTCCCGACGGTTAATTTTTATACTTTAATAATAATAATAATAATGATAAAACAAGAGGAAAATTATTCAGGCATACCGACGGCATATTTTTATTCCTTAGGGATTCGCGGGGGGGGGGGTAGAGAAACCTGAAATAAATGTTTTGAGAAAAGCTCCGACGAATATTTAAAAAAATATTCGTTTTCGTTATTACGATTGAAAATAATAATAATGATAATAATAATAATGATGATGATGATAATAATAATAATAATAATAATAATGATGATGATGATGATGATGATGATGATGATGATAATAATTGGTAAAAGAAAAAATGTCGCGGTTCAGATTTTGTTTTTTTTTTTTTTAATGGCGGAAATTTGATGAGTAATAATAATTTAAAATTTTTTCGGTTTTATTTTTTTGGCGCGCGGTTTTTGTTTTGTTTTTTTTTTTTTTTGCAGGGCCGACAACGTTAAAAAAATTATTTTATTTTTATTTATATTTTATCCGTAATATAATTTCGAAATCGGAAATTCCGCCGACACTTTTTTAAAATAAAAAATAAATTAACGAACGGTTTCTTTTGAGTTATATAATTATTTTGGGGGGGGGCGGGGGGGGAAAAACGCTTCTGCTTCTGCTGCTAATAACAATAATAATTTATTCGGATTTCATTTTTTTTTTTTTTTTGAAAATTATTACATTCTAATTTTAAAAAAAAAAAATATGCGCGCGTAAATAAGAAAAAAAAAGTTATTAATTTTCTTTAA